ATGTTAACCTCACAATGCCAAGTTCACCACTAAACCATGTCTCTAAGTGCCATGTCTACACCTCAATAATTTTAATTTGTTAATTAAATACCTCCAGGGATGGGGACTCAGTAACTTCCTTGGGTAGCCTGTTCCAATGCTTGACAGACCTTTTGGTGAAGAAGTTTTTCCTGATGTTCAGATGAAACCTTCCCTGGTGCAACCTGAGGCCATTTCCTCATGTCCTATTGTTTGTCACTTGGGAGAAGAGATCAACACCTACCTCACTACAACCTGCTTTCAGGTAGTTGTAGAGAGCAATAAGGTCCCCCCCCAGCCTCCTTTTCTACAGGCTAAACAGTCCCAGTTCCTTCAGCTACTCCACATCAGCCTTGGGCTCCAGACCCCTCCCCAACTTTGTTGCCCTTCTTCAGCCCCTCCATGTCCTTCTGGGAGTGAAGGGCCCAGCCATGAACCCAACACTTGAGGGGCAGCCTCACCACTGCCCAGGACAGGGCATTGCTGATACAAGCCAGGATGCTGTTGGCCTTCTTGGCCACGTGGGCACACTGCTGGCTCATATTCAGCCGGCTGTCAACCAACACCCCCAGGTCCTTTTCCACTGTAACTTTTCCCAGCCACTTTCCCCCATGCCTGTAGCATTGCATGGGGTTGTTGTGACCCAGGTGCAGGGCCTGGCACTTGGCCTTGTTGAACCTCATAAACTGACCTCGGGCCATTGATCCAGCCTGTCCAGATCCCTCTGTAGAGCCTTCCTACCCTCCAGCAGATCAACAGTCCTGCCCAGTTTGGTGTCATCTGCAAAATTACTGAGAGTGCACTCGACACCCTCATCCAGGTCATTGATAAAGATGTTAAACAGAACTGGCCCCAATACTGAGCCCTGGAGGACACCACTTGTACCTGGCCTCCCACTGGATTGAACTCCATTGACCACAACTCTCTGGGCCTAGCCATCCATACAGTTTTTTACCCAGTGAAGAGTGTTGGGTAAGATTGCTGGCTCATCCAAGCCACAAGCAACCATTTTCTCCATGAGAATTCTGTGGCAGACAGTGTCAAAGGCTTTAATAAAGTTTGGGTGGCCAACATGCACAACCTTTCCCTCATCCTTTCTCTGAAGACCTAACCCTTCAGCGAGTGCCTGTAGGTCTGAAGCCCCTCCATATGCCCTGTATTTCAGCACTGAAGGTTACATCACTCCAGTCAGAGGTGTTGTTTTGATTCTCCTCACAGCCTAAACCACCAAATGGCTCAAGAGATATTCCAGGACACCTAAAGTGGCATCACAGAATCACAGAATTGCAAGGGTTGGAAGGGACCTGTCCTGGTTTCGGCTGGGATAGAGCTAATTTTCTTCATAGTAGCTGGCATAGTGCTGTTTTGGATTTAGTACTAGAAGAATGTTGATAACACACTGATGTTTTGGTTGTTGCTGGGTAGTGCTTAGACTGGCCAAGGACTTCTCAGCTCTGAGCGTCGGGCTGGGGGGGGGGGTTAGTTAGTTTGGGCGGTCGGTCAGTCGCGGGGAGACTGCGCGTGGCTCGGGGACTGCTCGCAGCTCGGGACGGGCTGGGCATCGGTCAGCGGGTGGTGAGCAATTGCATTGTGCATCATTCGTTTTGTATATTCTGTATATTCTGTTATCATTCTCATTATTACTATTATTATTTTCTCTTATTAAACTGTCTTTATCTCAGCCCTCGGCTCTAACCTTTTATTTTCTTTCTGATTCTCTCCCCCATCCCATTGAGGGAGGGGGGAGTGAGCGAGCGGCTGCGTGGTGCTGAGTTGCCAGCCGGGTTAAACCACGACAGACCTCAGGAGATCATCTAGTCCAACCCCCCTGCTAAAGCAGGTTCTCCTAGAGCATGTTACACACTCCTCTGGGCCAAAAAAAAGTGGAATATCTGGTGTCATGGCATACTAATACTTGTGTTCAGAGATCTGGTCAAAACAGCCATCTCCATTGCTGGAATTGTGGTTGAGTTTTCTCAAGTAACCCCTTGAGGTGGTCCCCATCCACCATTGGTTATCCTCCTCCACAGGAGGAGAACACATGCAGCAATGACCTGGAGGAGTAGACAGAGCGTACCCTCAAGTAGTTTGCTGATGACACAAAACTGGGAGGAGTGGCTGATACGCCGGAAGGCTGCGCTGCCATTCAGAGGGACCTGGACAGGTTGGAGAGTTAGGCAGACAGGAACCTGATGAAGTTCAACAAGGGCAAGTGTCGAGTGCTGCCCCTGGGGAGGTTGAACCCACGGCCCCAGCA